TGCTCTGCAGCTGCCATCTTCCTCTCTTCTAAAGCCTCCAAGAGCCGTTCTGTAAAATAATGATTATGTTTTTATTTACCTTGTACTTCACAACCAGAGTGGGAAGAGGGGTTTGGACTTGCTCCAGTGCAAAGCTGGATTCTCCACATCAGCCTTGAAAGGTTTTGCAGCCAGGCAGAAATCCCTCCTCATCTGCATTCCAAACTGGTTTAGCTTCCTGGTGCGACCAAATGCTAATGTACCAGTTACATCACATTAATGCCTCCAGGTTAGGGCTGGACCGTAGGCATTTGATGCTATACAACCAAACTGATCCCAGATCCCCCAAAAATGACAGCCAAGCATCCAGCTACAGGAGACTTGCGAGCACATCAAGGCAATGAGATGATGCTGCCCAGTTTCAAGTGCAGTATTCCCACCCCACCCCCCACCCCAACTAATTTTTCAATGGGGTGGGTGGGGAAGCTACAGGAACTGTAACCTAATAGCTTGTTCCCACTGTAAAAAGCCTACACGAGTCCTTAAAATCCTGATAAATGATCAGATCTGCCCTCACCCACAGCCCTCAATCCTTGGCACAGCCATATAGTGGTTGTCATTGCCATAACAACACTAAGGGAAAAAACAAGACTTGCTGGTCCATAATGGAGAGCAGTGTTATCAATAACCAGCTGCAACTCTGCAATCCTGGCATATGCAATAAAACGTTGTATTACACACTTAAAAGAACTGGTGTTTACAGGAAAAGCAATGAAGCATGTTAAGTTATTGCTTTTTAAACAAGCCTCTTAATATTGTTTGGAAATCAAAAAGGATTCGCTTGGCTTGTGTTCAAAAGTCTACATTGGGAGCAATAGCTAGGACAATTTGTTAAGGCCACTGCAACCTCAATACAAGTGACCTGTAGTCTAGCATGGAGAAGAAAACTGTCCCGTGAAGGGGGAGATAGAGATAAGCCCCGTTTATTATGCCTTTGCTTCCAACCTGCTCGTATGTGCCTTCAGGATGCAATGCTGGCTGTTCGCACAGCCATGAGTCATCTGCCCATTAGATGCAATTTACATCAACTATAATAATAAATTT